GATATATTACAGTGAGATATGCAGACAGACAGACAAGTACTGAGAGCTATTTCGGTTTAATTCACCCCTACATTTTCTCATTTTGACGGCTTTTGTATTTTGCTTTACAACGTTTCTTTAGATAACCTGTTTATTTTTTTTTTTCTAATTTGGCACACGCCCCACAAAAATCTGGTTTCGCTCCATATCGTCACTTGCCAGGTGGTACAGGTGTGTGTGAGTGTGCGCGTGTTTGAGAATGTGTGGCGAGTGTTTTGTGTGTGTACGCTCGCGCGTGTGTGCGTGCGTGAGCGAGTGCATGCGTGTGTATGTGTGTGTGGGTGGGTGTGTGTTAGATAGTGTTCATGAGTTCTCAACCTGCGCTTACGTTGTCTGAGGTCACGTCGCAATACGAGCCAGCAACTGTGCCATCTTTTGGGGAGCGTCTCAGGCTCTCTCAATAACTAACACGATGACGAACTAAAAGAAACGGTTTTATAGTTTGTGAGAAAGCTGAGTGAATAAGATGGAAGGCGCCGTGGTGTAGGGGCTACATGCCTGCCTGCGAATCGGAAGGAGCCGAATTTTTTTTTTCCTATAAAAATGACCTTGGCTCCAAGGTCGACCCAGCCTTGAGTGGGTACCAGGTGTGGTCTTGGGAAGATGCTGACCACAGCATCCACCAAGTGTCAGTTGGTCTATAAAATATAGGTCTTGCCCTATAGGCCCAATACGTCTGAAGGCGTAGAAAATGATCCTTTTCTTTACTTTTTAAAAAGATGGAAGAACAATATCGTGAGGCCGAGAACTCTTCCTCTGTGTGACTCTCTTACTGCTGTCCGAAAACAAGGTGTTTTTTTAATGTCTAACTGTAGTATTCAAGGATCATAAAATTGTTCAACGCATTCACTCACCTCTAAGCCTTTACAGCTTTCCAAACTGGCAAGTTGATGTACTCATCATCATCAAGTGTCGTGCTGACAGGCTTAGGCGACCATGTTTCTCAACATCTTGCAGTCTCCAACAGCAAGTATCAGCTCGTCTACTGACACAAGTCTATGCTATAACAAAATAATGTCGCGCATTTTCTTTCATTGCCTACCTCTGTCTCCCTTTCCATCTTTCTATAAAAGCTTCCAGTTGTCAGATCATGTCCTAATTTGTCCTCTTCCCCTAAAGCAGTGGTTATAAACCTTCCTAATGCCGAAACCCTTTAATACAGTTCCTCATGTAGTGGCAACCCCCCCCCCCCCCCCCCCCCACCATACGATTATTTTTGTTGCTACTTCATAACTTCCATTAGTATGTGTTTTCCAATGGTCTTTGGCAACCCATGTGAAAGGGTCGTTCAACACAACAACAACAAATCAAGAAAAGATTTTTTTTTTTAAACCGAACGAAAAGTATATTAGCAAGCTTCACAATATAACCAACTCAAACAAAAACGTGAACGTTGCGGCTAAAGAGCCTTCATAAGCACATACATACACACACACACACACACACACACACACACACACACACATAAAAAACCACACAAATACATAAAATCACTTAGCTTAGCATCTTGAAGCGGCCAGGTCGATGTTTTGTCAGTAGACTGACTAGACGTGTGGGGCAGGAGAATAAATACCCCCGGGGAATTCCAGAGGCTGTAACTTAGGGGAGGGGTGAGATATAACAGTGTGGGCAGTTCAATTCCCTAGGATTTTAGAGGAAACTGTCTTGGCTGTTCAGTACTCTAGGTGTTAAAGTGCCCAAACTGAAAATAAAGCGATTTTTAAGAGAATTGAGGACTGTGTCACTAGAGTGGCTAGATTTGATGGCTGTTACCTCCATGTCGGGGACACAGTGTGGCCTCTTTCAAAACTTCATGATTACTAATGTCGACTTTCTTGTGAATTACACACACGCACACACACAGGCGTACCGCCACGAAAAAAAAAAAACATTGGTAAAATGGGGTGGGTAGCTCAATCTGCTTAAAACGTTCTGTAGGGGAAAGGTCTTTTAAGAAGTCAACACTGCCATTGTTTTCTAAATTAAAAAGACCGCTACTACTGCTGCCTGCATTTACTACTTTCTAATGATGAGGTCAAGATCAGGCCAGCGGCCTTTACTACCCAGAACTGTTCCTGTTACCTAGTTGAAGCTGGGCTGACCTCAAAGCCAAGGTCAGTTTTGACAAATTTCCAGCTCCGTCGGGATCTGAAACCTTGACCTTCGGATCAGCAGGCGAGAGACTAGCCGCTACACCACGGCCGCTCCCATATATATATATATATATATATATATATATATATATATATATATATATATATATATAGAGAGAGAGAGAGAGAGAGAGAGAGAGAGAAAGAGAGGGAGAAAGAGATGAAGAGAGAAATAGAAGCATGGATATAGAAAGAGATAGAAAGAGAGGGAGAGAGAAAGAGGGAGAGAGATGAAAGATAGAGAGGGATAGAAAGAGAGAAGAAGAGAGAGGGAGATAGAGAGAAAGAGAGAAGGAGAGGGAGAGAGATGAAAGAGATAGAAAGTAAGGGAGAGAAAAAGAGAAGGGGAGAGGGGGAGATAGAAAAAGAGGCAGAGAGAAAGATAGGGAGAGAGGGATAGAAAGGGAACGAGAAAGAGAGGGAGGGAGAGAAAAATGCAAAGAGAGCAAGAGAGAGAGAGAGAGAGAGAGAGAGAGAGAGAGAGAGAGAGAGAGAGAGAGAAAGAAAGAGGGAGACAGAGAGGATGTGGAGTCTTATATATTTCTTATCTATAACATTTATGAATTTCCCAGCACACGTTTTGCAAAGGTAAAATGTTTCCAGCTGACCAAAAAAAAAAAAAACTGTGAGAACTGGAGCTCGGCGTCTGAGCCATCCTTACTCACACAATGATGACTCGATATCTCACCTGTTTTCCCATCAAACCTGCATGACCTCATTGAGCCGCCACTGTATATAGACCCCGCTGAACGACTGACAGCTCTCAGACTCATTGTCTGGTGTCGACGTACTCGCTTCCATGTTCACACACGCGCAAAGAGTTCGCTAGGTAAATGGTTGAGGTGAGTGATAATATTATCGTCTTAACATAGTTGTGTATCCTGAGCAAAGCGGTCTGCCGACCACTGCTTGGACAAGCACTCAGAGTCATGTTGTTACATTCTGGTCTATTGTTTAAGCTGCTTTGCTTTCCTCATCGTCACGTTTAACCAGCATCACGGAAGGGAGGAGCTTTGGGTTATAATTGTGGCCATATATAATGGTTTAGCATTGCGCGCCGCAAAGAACCCTGATGATAATTAATAACTACCAAATCAGAGAGCAGTTGCATAAAAAGTCATAACTGATTTTGGCTATTTTATAATAAGAATTCGCATGTGTGCCTTTGGCGTATTGTAAGGTGACACATAACAGACCTGAGAATGCACTTAGATGAATATTCCAGAATGTGTACTTACATGACATAGGTGTTAGTCTTAGTTACAGGGCGCTGCAGAACCAACCCCAGAATTAACTGGCTGGTGTGTTTTTTCTAGGCACATTTCACATTCAGCAGTTTGCCATTGCTGGCTGAACGGCCAGCTCTCGGTACCACTATCGAAACCAGCGCAAGACAAATCGTCCGCAGCCGGAATCGAACCCGGAACCCCGGCATTACGGAGCGCGTTCGTAACGCGTAAGCCACAGACGCTGACTAGATGACACTGGCATAGTAAAACAAAACAAAAACCATTAAGCACTCGGTTGCCTTTACTTCCCAGGACTTTACCTAGTACCCATTGTAGGCTGTATTGATCTGAGAGTCAAGGTCTTTGTGTAGGTGGGCTGTTTTTGTTTACCCCTGACAGAAGAAAAAACTTCCCTTATCGAGGATTAGGCCCTGGGCTTCCACTTGATAGTCTGGTGCGCTAACCACTCGACTGGATGTTTTAACATCTCAGACTTTTGTCTTTCAGATTTGGCCGCAGATGATAAGAGAAACAATGTTCGCCGAAGGAAGGCACGTTGATGTTGAATCAAGAATCCTCGCAGCGCCATTCTCCTCAGACCGTAAAGATCTATCTGTGTCTCCGCATTGTTAACCCTCTCCCCAAAGGGCCCTTGCAACATCTAGCTTGTCATACATCAGTTTACAACCAGGTGGCGTAAAACCGGCCAGTCTATTTACCTGTTAATTACCCAACACACCAGCATTACTTGGAGAAAATACCCAACGGATAAATGAAGCCTGTTTGTGTTTCTGATGGCGATAGTGATAGTGGAGTGTCCTCCCAGAATGACTCTGTCCATGAACTTCCGCCGGAACTTGAGTATCGTTTGGACTGTTCTCCAGGTTCGGTTACTCTGCCGGGCCGGGCAGCATGATGGTGTCACAACATGCTGGAAAACAACTTGAAGCGACGCAAATATTTGTTAGAGAGACGGAGATTGGTTGAAGGTGACTGGTTGTTTCCCATTTGAGGAATCGTTAACCCGGAATCTAAAGTTAGTTTTCGTTGTCGTGGAAGCAAAGAGAGCCAGATTAGTAATTATTCGCATTTTTGTTTAGATATGAGAATAGCCTGTTTATCGAGAATCAACTCTTTGGTGGTGACAGAGATATTTATTAATCCTGTGTATGATGATGATAATGAAGATGATTCTCGGGCGATATATTTGAGCCAAGGCCAATTCAGTTAAATAATGAACATCCCAGAGACGTATATGAAAAGTAAAGCATTTAATAATTGGGAAAAACATTGCTATGCAAATAAAAATCTGGAACCTAATTGTTCATTGGAACGTAATCAGAAAGAAGCGGCTGAACAATGCCCATTGAAGTTTGAATACAACGAGGACGAAGAGCCCATTGACTACTCACAACTCTCCTCTCGCTGGAAGACATCTGGCAGCCGTGATCAAAAATCTTCGATTGATTCTGTTTCTCAAAACATAAGCAGCTTCAACAACTCTGCCTTTGGATCTGTAGCTCGAAGCGTCAGTCCGCATCTTCATACTGCAGTTAGAACAAAGTCTGACGTTTCGGTGATGAAATTCCAGCATTCAGTCTGCACCCGAAAGACAGGATTAGGTAAAACATTAAATACTTACCACCCTAAGCTTAAATCTTTGGTAGTTTCTGAAATAAATGCAAAAGACATATGCCAGGGGAAAGAATCTCTGCCATCAACGAATGATACAAATGCTGGTTACTCCCCTTTATGGAATCAAGAAACAATTACTTCGTATGACAAACTTCATCACACTGAAACTGTTGCACCTTATTACATCTGTAATGAAATCTTGTTCTCAAAAACTATTCCTCCAAATAACATTTCCGACACGCCTAACATTTATGTACCTGATGATACGTCCTCTATGTGTATTTACACATCACCACTGAACTTTAAACAACATAGAGAACAAGAAGCCGCAAATATTGATCAAATAAACATTCATTTATCGCTAAGTGACCCTGTCTCCATCCGTCACAACTTACACAGAACACTCGACAAGCTTTCAAATCCCGCATGCTCAGCAAATATGGGTAAAAACTCCTTCACACAGCCGATAAAGTCAAATTCTTTACTGCAAACTATTCCACGTTGTGAAACAATTCAGTTGTCAAATGCTAAAAAATCTGGAATGAAGAATCACGAATGCCTCGACTGCTGGAACAGGTTCCCTACATCGAGCAATCTGGCATGCCATCGCAAAAATGCCAGGAAATGTCCACATTGTGAGAAAACGTATATCTCCAAGCCTGCATACACCATGCATACCCGCACACACAGCCTCAGCAGTGAGTGTCTGTACTGCGGCAAACATTTCAGCCGCCCATGGCTTCTTCAAGGTCACATTAGAACTCACACTGGAGAAAAGCCGTTTCCCTGTCCTCAGTGTGGAAGAGCTTTCGCAGACAAGTCAAATCTCCGGGCTCACATGCAGACACACTCCAAGGACAAACCTCACGTCTGTGGTCGATGTAAAAAGGCTTTTGCGCTAAAGAGTTACCTCTCTAAGCATGAATCATCTTCTTGTTTGAAAGACCGCAGGTCTCGTGGGGCTGACTGATTACCAGGTTTCTTCTTTTTGTTCTCCCTGCTAATGAAGTCTTGCAGCCAGCTTTCACCTGTCGCTTCTAGTAGCAGCCAGCATGCGGTAGCAGCCACCCCCGGGCAACGCCAGCTGAGGGTGGCCGAATGGTTAGTCCGGATCTGCCCATCCAAGCACTCAAAGACTGGACTGGTCTAAATGTGTTGAGGAAATCAATACTTAGTTCAACCAAGGCTTTCTCCGTGAGAAGGCTTTGCCTCAACTGACTTGATGGCGAAAACCAGCAAAGTTCTGGGGAGCGTGAAGAGCACGGTGAGACATGTAGAACACCCTGGTCATCCATCGCACCTGACTTAATCTCCAATCGTCTCGATCTGTCCTGTCACTGGATCCAGATGGATACAGGCGAGAGATTGAGGTCAACGACATTGAGCAACTCTTCCTCACTTTAAGAATCTTCATCGCGCAAGTCACTCTTTCGTTTGGGCTTGTAAGTCACATCTGGACTCACAGAACTCAACTATAGTTTCATGACGGATACAAGAAATATTGTCCCTGAACTTGTGATGGTCTAACAACATCACGTCTGACGCAGGTCCTCTACTTATCTATACAGCTTGTCCCCCACTAGAGTGCCAACTGGCCAGACATGAGAGCTCCCTACGGCACGTATAAAGCCTGCCTGTAGCACAGGTTTATCATTTCAAGGTGTCTATCGATTTGGTCACAGTTCAGAGTCCCTAGTATGACATTTTTGAGACACATGGCTACAGTCTCCTATGTCCATTTCTCAGTATAAATATATAATATGGTCTACAGATGAAAAGGCTAGATACCTCTATAAAATCTGTCGTAAGACAAATGTCTTCCTTTGTTCCATACATCCTACCTTCTATTGGAATGCCAACCGGCAAACCTCGTATCTTTGTACTGTATGCAGAGGGCGTGTTTTGTGGGATGATTGAGTCTTCAGAACTGCGTTTTGGATGGAACATTTTCCATTGGATTCTATTGGCTGACGTGAACAAAGTAAGTAATGGTCCCTTTCTCACGCCTTTAGGCATATAGGACTAGATCTATATTTTTATAGACCAATCGGCAAAAGATGGGTCATGTGGTCAGCATCACGCCGGATGGCTGACTTGATCGGGGTATTATTTTTGATTAGAGGGTTTAAGTTTCAAATCGAGAGGGTCGACGAGATTGCACTGTGCTTTATCCCAGACAGATCAGAGTCTCTCAGCAGAGCAGCTAACAGCTGTCGAGAGGCGTCGTACAAAGTACAAACTATATGTATAAAGTGTGACACAGTTGTATCTTTTACATCCCCCAAGAATGGATGTGCCTAATTCTGAACTTGTGTGTTATGGATACAGTTCGTAGCTCTCTTGATCGTACTCAACAACACGGCCAGTGATGTAACAAACCATTACAGATCTGGTTGTTTATTTCCACAATATTGTCAAGTCAAACAGTATGAATCATTTCATTAACCAATAGTATAGGAACACTTCATTATCTTAATACTGGCTATTCATATGTCTCTCTATGAGTTCCTTAATCACTGTTTTAGCTAAACTCAAAGTTTAATATATATCTTCTAGCGAAGTTCTTGTCAGTTGTCCCCCAAGCGTCTCGGCACCGACTGTCCTTTCTCCTCCTCGCTCCTCTTCTCTACACCCCTGCTTCCTCTCTCTTCGCAGCGTGGGTTCTTAATCACTCCCTGTCACCCGTCTCCGTGGGTCACGTTTGGATAAACGTACTTTATTCAACCCTGGTCACAGTGCACCTGGTTTATCTGTTTCGCTTTGTCTGACCAGCATTCTGATCACCGTTTTCTGTCATGCCACCCAGTGATGGATTAGCATGCCATGATGCTGGTCTGAATGTATGCATTCTTCATTTAACCCTTTCCTGAACTCTGTTTCATTACATATAGCTTCAGTGTCGATTCCCAGTACCAAACACAGACTGACAAAAACATTTTATGGTACCATGTTTACTTTGGCTGTTTAAAAGCTGTTGACTTGTCCCTTGAGCTTTCTATGCAGATTTTATGTTGTTGATAGTACTCCGGTTCCCAGTAACATCAGGAGTAAGACAAGGTTGTGTATTATCACCTTTACTTTTCATAATATTTATGGACAATATTAATAAAATAGACATAACACCAACAGATGTCGATAAACAGGAGGACTTCAATGAGCTGCTCTTTGCCGACGATCAATGCCTATTTCACAGTGATAGTAAACAGCTGCAAGACCACATAAACCTACTACACGACAGTTGCCTCAAGCATCATATGAAGACAAATACTGAAAAGACAGAAGTCATGAGCATAAGCAGAGAGCAACAGACCATCGACATAAAGATTCTAGATCACAGCCTAAAACAAGTGCAAGGATTTAAATACTTGGGAAGTATCTTTACATCCAATGGTAAAATAGACAGAGAGATCGAAGCAAGAATCCAACAAGCTAACAATGTCGCATACCAGCTTGCCCCAATTTTAAAACACCCTGCTGTCCCAGCTGAGATAAAAAGACAAATTATAAATACAATCTTTATACCGACATTAGGTTATCAATGTCAGACTTGGACATTAACAAAAGAACACGAGAGAAGACTAACCACCTGTGAAATGATATGTTTGAGAATGGCTGCGAATAAAACCAGAAGAGATCGAGTGAGAAACGATGTGATTACAAGAACTATTGGAACCATACCTATCGTTAAATTTATTGAGAAGCAAAGAATGGAATGGTTTGGTCACCTAATGAGAATGGAACCAACGATGCCAGCATACAACATGAAAATCGAAACACCAAGAGGCAGGGAAAAACCAAGAAGAAGATGGATTGAAGGAGTCACGGACAACTTGAGACTTCATAACATCACGGCATATGAAGCGACTGAGCGCGCCCTGGCTCGGTTGCCGATCATCTGATAGACTGCGACGCCTAGCGGCACAAGCAGATTTTGACAAAAGAAGAAGATAGTACTCCCGTTGATAAAGAGTTTAATCAAAACGCTCTGTTTTATTTGCGCTTATTTTTTCCATTCCCCCACTGAGCTTCTAGTCAAAATTTCTTTTTTTTATTTTTTTTTTTTATTACTTTTGATATTTGCTTGATGCAGTCATTCCAGTTTGCGTCATGAATTTTATAATTTTATGCAATCCTTTTATTGAGTTGGATAGTTTCCAGTGTGCACGATTTATTCTCATGTCCCATGTTGCGTTGAATTCATAAATTTTTACATAATCAGATGAATTAAAACTTTGCTGCTTTAAAAAAAAACTACGTTTGTTCAAAATTTTTTTTTATGGTTATAATTTAAAGTAGTGTCTTGGTGCAGACAACAACAACAACAGCAACAACAAAACACGAGGAAAGGGGTTGAACAATAAGGTGAAAACATCAAAGAGTTATGAAAATAAAGAGAAACTTACACACAGCAATTGGAGGACCACACGAATTATGGAATGACATCGTCAAGTACAGCCTTGGAGAGATGAAGATCAACGTATGCCATACATTAGAAATAGCACACATCATCTCCTTGTAGCTAGTGGCACATGAGGCTTCGGAGAGGACTTTCCATGCTTTCCTGTCCTGTACAATCTTCAGTGCAGTTTTCCATGTCAGATATGCCGCACTCAGTTCACTCTCCATCGTTCGTCTCAATGTTTTTATTTTTATTTTTTTTTGCGCCCCTTTTTTCTCTGTCCCTCTGGTATCCATGTGAGGCATCAGAACGTGAGATGCCACAGAGGTGGAAATTCAGCAATTAATTCAAGATAATGTTCGTTCAGAGGATTTGATCATTTACACGGACGGTTCAGTGTCAAAAGGCAAAAGAAGTGCTTGGGGCTTTTTAGCAAAAGGTTATGGTCGACGTTTGGTGCAGGAAAGCCTAGCATATGATACCACAACATATAAGCTTAAGAATGGAGGTGGAGGCGGTCAAAGCAGCTTTTCGCTGGCTAGAGAACACGACACACACACACACACACACACATTGTAATTATAACTGATTCAGAAAGCATGCTGAGGAAGATCAGAACAGGTATGCTCCGTGCAGAGTGGCATGCTTCGCTGCGGAGGATACGAGTGAGGGGTATTGTCTGGATTTTTTTTTAAACCGGGTCACGCCGGTGTGTTGGGAAATGAACAGGCAGACAGACTGGCCGGCTCTGTACAACTTGGTGGCATACTGCTACATGATAGGGCAGACGTGGTTAGTGCCTTGTGGGAGAGCGTGTACATTGCGGGGGAGCAGATGGATCACCACAGTCTGGTGAGATTGATGCAGTTGGGGGTGACGAGAGGTTCTGGCAGAAGCTCAAGGCTCAGAGAAAAGGCAAGACGGACGTTTAATCAGAAAGCTACTGGCACCATTAGTATCGGAACTCTTCGCTGGCTGCTGAAGATGGGGACGAAGGGCTTACAGGAATGCTCCGAGTGCTGTGATGTCGGTTCTTGAAACAAATCAAATTAATCAAATCAAATCTCATAACGTGGCCGAGCCATTTCCATCTTCTCTTTGTTATCATACTGTCTAGAGTTTCTTGGTTTGTGAAGAAATAGCATAAAGACCTTCCTTAAATCTCCTTCCAAGGCTATGATGACGTAGGTGGAGGAGGAAAAGGGGAAGAGGTACAAACATGATGATAGTAGACATCTTCTTAGAGTCCATGCCTTGTGTTTTTAGTAGCCTGGTCTATCTGCGGTCTTCAGTCTCGTGTACTTTCAGTCAGTTCTTACACAGATGATCTTCCATGCCTTGATGTCAAACTGACCAGCATCTTTTCTCTCGGTCTCTCTCTCTCTCTCTCTCTTTCTGTCTCTCCTCCCATCTAACTTTCCTACTGTCATGATGTCATCATCATAATGTATCAGGTCCTATGCAGAGCGTCGCTCTTATCACGGTCTGCCTGAAAGAAACTCGCCAGCTCTCCCGCCTCATGCACTTTCATACTCAAGAAGTCACTTATATCATGTGCCCATCTTCGTGTTGGTCGGCCCCTGCCCCTCCTTCCTGGTACCATGCCTTCTGCTAAAAAAATGTTTCATCCGTCTTTGCGCTTGATATGACCAAAATATTTCAGCTTTCGAAACAGGATGCTGTTTATTAGCCAGTCTTCATTGATGTTCAGATCTTTCAAGATGTCAATATTTCTCCTCTTTTTCGCCCAAAATATTCTGAGAATCCTTTTAAAGCATTTCAGCTCAAACGTCCCGATTCTCTTTCTTAAGGACTGGGAGATAGTCCACGACTCACATCCGTATGTTGCTACTGTCACGATGTACTCCAGTTGTTTTTTTCCTTCTCATCACATGAACAAAGAATAAAGAATATCTCTTTCTGATGTGGGCAGTAAGTTCTCCTTGTTAGTCAGTTTATTTCAAGACATCTTTATTACTCTCTTTATCTATCCAGGGTATTCTCAACATTCGTCTATAAAACCACATCTCCGCAGTTTCAAAATAATCTTTCACTAATTTACCAACTGTCCATGATTTACTGCCGTATATCAGATATGATTTATATAGCTTTATAGAATTATGTTTTTCGACTCAGTTGACAAAGAAAGATTGCATAGATTGTCTAGACTAGAAGAAGAAGAAAAAGTTAGTTGAGTATCCTTCACAGGACGTGGATCACCACAGTCTGGTGAGATTGGTGCAGCGGGGAGTGAGGAGAAGTTCTGGCAGATGCTCGAGGCTCATAGGATAGGCAAGACGGACGTTTAATCATAATGCTACTGGCACCATTAGTATCGGAACTCTTCGCTGGCAGCTGAAAATGGGGACGGAGCGCTTATGGGAATGCCCCGAGAGCTGTGATGTCGGTTCTTGAATCAAATCAAATCAAATCAAATCAAATCCTTTACATGACGAACCAATCCCAGCATTTTTTGCTGTTGAGGTTTTTTTTAGGCAAATTTTCGTCCAGTAGTTTGCCAATTCCACTGAACGGTCGGCTTCTCGATGCCACTGTCAAGGCCAGCAGCCGGGATCGAACCCGGCACCCCGACATTACGAAGCGAGTTCGAAACCCCCAAGCCACAGACGCCGACAGAAGAAGAAAATGCGCACCAAAAATAAAATGAAATACCAGAAGTCCCAATTTTCACTTTGGTTAAACTCAACTACAGAAGAAAACAAAACACCTTTGTGTTGCCAGTTGTACTGACCGTATTTCCTGAAGACCCCACTGCCCCCAAGTCCTGGACACATCCCTCCTGGCTTCTGACTACTCCTACATTAGGATGAGGTTTTCAGTTTTCGGTAAACAGATTGCCATCACAATGCCCCGACAGGGTGAGTAATAGTAGTAGTTAGTAGTGATATTAGCGTTGGTGGTGGTAATAGCAGTAGCAGCAGCAGCTGCAACCGATGTAGTAGTTGTAGTAGTAGTAGTAGTAGTAGTAGTGGCGGTGGTGGTGGTGGTAGTAGTAGAAGTAGTAGTAGTAGTAGTAGTAGTAGTAGTAGTAGTAGTAGTAGTAGTAGTAGTAGTAGTAGTAGTAGTAGTAGTAGTGGTGGTGGTGGTGGTGGTGGTGATGGTTGTAGTAGTAGTAGTAGTAGTAGTAGTAGTAGTAGTAGTAGTAGTAGTAGTAGTAGTAGTAGTAGTAGTAGTAGTAGTAGTAGTAGTGGTAGTGGTGGTAGCGTTTGTGGTGGTAGCGGTTGTAGTAGGAGTAGTAGTAGTAGTAGTAGTAGCAGCAGCAGCAGCAGTAGTGTAGTATTAGAAATAGTCGTAGTAGCAGTCGTTGTTTTTGTTGTTGCCTGTAGCAGTAATAGTAGTAGTAATACTTTTAAAAGGTCTGTATGGATTTTGGGGGCGGGGGAGGGGAGAGCAGACTCCCCTTTCGACCCAGCTGTGTACTAGGAAATGTCCTTTGAAGCAGCCATCTTGTATACACCAGGCATGTCGATCATGCGGCCCTTTGCAAGTACAACAGTGGCCGGCAAAGACAAATCATTCTGTAGTAATTTATATTACATGACTTTAATTAGCTGTCGTGTATGGCCTTTATTACAACACAAAAATGACCCACGTGACCTCCAGGGGACCGTCTGTTGGTCATGGGGGTCGCCACAACATGAGGAAACTGTATTAAAAGGTCGTGGCATTAGGAAGGTTGAGAGTCGCTGCCGTAGATTCTTGGCAAGCGTGCGGGATATCCCCACCTTCTCCACCCGCATGCGTCATCGTCGGTTAGGTTCATGTTAATCTCCTCAGGCAGGTCCCTTTTCATTCACAATTTTGTTGGGCTGGTCAACTTTACTGAAGGTTACGGGTGTGTCCGGCGCTGTTGTTTGCTTTCTGCATTGTCTTACATTTACGTTTTTATTCTGAGAAAAAGAATGCCTGTGACACAGGTTGCAGCAACCTCTAACGGAATTAGCTAGGGTCCGTTTCTCCAGGTTTTTTGAGTGTTAAAAGCACTGGCGTGCTGATATATACAACATGCTATATCAACGGAACACCCCTCTGACCTTGTGCGAAGGTGACGGTGCTCAGTAACTATCAATCATAAGTGAGCTAGTGTGTATATGGGCGGGGCCTGGGGAGACTAACGTTACGTGTTCCCATCGTCCACTAAAAACCGATTGGTCCATTCAAATGAGGGTAGCCGCATGTATCCCATGGGCCTCTGACGTGAGAACGGCACGTAATTTTTTTTTTCAACTCTGTTTTCAGCCCGACCAGAAATCACATTTACCAAACAGGGTGCGGTGGTTGAAGCGCAGTCGAAGCCCTCGTTTCAAGTAACACCACGGTCGGTGGTGTCTGCTGCAGACCGGGCTCTGTGCACACTGAACACGGCCCTCATGAGGTCAGCCTCCCACTGTTGTCCGACCACATCGTCCTCATCATCATCAGCAGCAGAAGCTTCAGCATTATCATCATCATCGTCATCGTCCTTATCATCATCATCATCATTAGCATCATTATTTTCATCATTATCATCATTTATCCTCATCATGATCTTTATCACCATCATCATCCTGTGAGTGTGAGTGAGTAAGTGAGTGAGTGAGTGAGTGAATGAGTGAGTGAGTGAGTGTGTGAGTGAGTGAGTGAGTGAGTGAGTGAGTGAGTGAGTGAGTGAGTGAGTGAGTGAGTGAGTGAGTGAGTGAGTGAGTGAGTGAGTGAGTGAGTGAGTGAGTGAGTGAGTGAGTGAGTGAGTGAGTGAGTGAGTGAGTGAGTGAGTGAGTGAGTGAGTGAGTGAGTGAGTGAGTGAGTGAGTGAGTGAGTGAGTGAGTGAGTGAGTGAGTGAGTGAGTGAGTGAGTGAGTGAGTGAGTGAGTGAGTGAGTGAGTGAGTGAGTGAGTGAGTGAGTGAGTGAGTGAGTGAGTGAGTGAGTGAGTGAGTGAGTGAGTGAGTGAGTGAGTGAGTGAGTGAGTGAGTGAGTGAGTGAGTGAGTGAGTGAGTGAGTGAGTGAGTGAGTGAGTGAGTGAGTGAGTGAGTGAGTGAGTGAGTGAGTGAGTGAGTGAGTGAGTGAGTGAGTGAGTGAGTGAGTGAGTGAGTGAGTGAGTGAGTGAGTGAGTGAGTGAGTGAGTGAGTGAGTGAGTGAGTGAGTGAGTGAGTGAGTGAGTGAGTGAGTGAGTGAGTGAGATTTTTAATCCAGAAATCATGAATTGTAAACGCTTTTGATATCGCAGCCCTTTGGCCTTAATTCCATGGTAGATACCGTAGATATGGGAAATATGTGGCTTTTCTGTCTACCCCCGGACCACAAGGAGTTTGTCACCCCTTAGTTCAACCAACGTATCTAGCGCGCTGGGTGAAGATTGTGGATAGACGTGATTATCAACGCCACACGGCATGGACTTTTAGATGATGATCCAAGAAAGGTGGCTGGATACAGACACGAAATTTCCTCTTCAAGACTAGCTTCATCGCTTCTCGAGAGAGTGACAATGTATTATATTCAGACTAAGGACAGGGCACAACAGACTTCGTCAACATATGTTCAAACTTTTCGGTTTAGGGAACATGGTTACGTGCCCCTGCAGCGTGGCATTTCCTCTTCTTCTTCTTTTCGTCTTCTTCTTCTTCTTCTTCTTCTTCTTCTTCTTCTTCTTCTTCTTCTTCTTCTTCTTCTTCTTCTTCTTCTTCTTCTTCTTCTTCTTCTTCTTCTTCTTCTTCTTCTTCTTCTTCTTCTTCTTCTTCTTCTTCTTCTTCTTCTTCTTCTTCTTCTTCTTCTTCTTCTTCTTCTTCTTCTTCTTCTTCTTCTTCTTCTTCTTCTTCTTCTTCTTCTTCGCCTTCATCAGCTGTAAACCCCGAAGGAAAGTTCTGATTGTTTGTCCACCACCGTACTTCAGTCTTGTTCCAGAACCTGAGTGTTGGTGTCCTCATCCGTTTTACAGATCTGACTTATATCTATGCAGGCTGTTGATTCATCGCCTCTCAGGTATATATACTCCAACTTCGAGGAAAACATATATTCTGTCTACGTTGGCCAGGTCCCTGTTTCTAGAAAGATCGCGGAGAGTCTAGATAGAGCTTGGCCATGTAGTACATGATTTAGACACAAGCTTTCTAAACAGCTCATGTCTCGTCAGTCTGCTGGGGCCCCATATAGGCAGATTTCCCAAATTTTCTTGTAAGCAGGTAAAATCTTCTCTACATATACTAGGGTTGATGAAAGAGGGGAAGGGGGCAATTAGCCACACATATTTCAGTTTTATTATAGTTATTCCTCGTTATCTTGGGATTTTATTTATTCTAAATTGTTAAAGCATATTTAAATTCTATAAAATTATCAGGTCTATATGCCTCAACTGCCACCATTTAATAATTTATATATTAAAGTTTTATGAGATGAACTGGCGTATTTTAAAAATGTAGGGGCCTCGGGATTTGATATAGCCTATCGCCTCGTGAAGTCTAAATCGCACCCTGGACTCCAGACATGGTCCAGGCGCTCGTCCACGCACGCTTCAGGCACGATACAGACACGGTCTAGACCCTCGCCCAGGCACGGTCAAGGCCCTGGTTTAGGCACGGTCTAGTCACTGTCCAGGCACCTCTGCATCGCCTCTAAATGTCTAAATCTTTAAATATGCAGACTGCAGTCAACCAGTGAGATGGAAAGAAAGATAGTTGTGAAGAAAAGCAACGGTGACTTCGATGTTGTGACTTCCCTATCACAGAGCGAGTCGCGGGACGAGTTTGGCGGTTCTAGGTAAGTTACAATTGATCTTGACAGGGTCCCAATGTTGGTTTCGGGGCCCCATTAGATGGGTTGGCGGGACTAGATCCCCCAAACCATTTAGTGTTTTTTTTTTTAACAACTATCATGTAGTATAGAAAGGAGCCGCCGTGGTCTAACGGCTAGACGCTCGGCTGCGGATCAAAAGGTCGTAGATTCGGTTCCTAACAAGGGCAAACAAACATTTGTTTAAATGAACTTGGCTTTCAGGTCGATCCAGCCTTGAGTGGGTACCAGGTACAGACATGGGAAGTAAAGGCGTCCGGCGTGATGCTGAAACATCAAACACTAAGTCTCGTTTGGTCTATAGAACATAGGCCTAGCCCTATACGCCTAGAGGGCGCGAAAAAGGGTCCTTGACCTTTACTTTTACTGTGCAATAAAGGTAACTAATTAGAAGTTTACAAAATCGCATGTGTAATACAGATATCGCAACGTAGCTGTAAACAACAACACAGCGTGGGAGCCACCGTTTTGGTGAACGTCAAAATAAACGTCTTATCAGGATGTTACTGTAACTAGAAAGATGAAATTAAGAGTTCTTTCTTCTTCTTCTTCTTCTTAACGTTCTCCGGCTGTAAACTACAGACTTTAGTCTTGTTCCAGAACCTTAGTGTTGCACGCTCATCAGTTTTACAGATCTGAATTTTTTTTAATATGCAGACTGTCCAGTTCCTTGCCTCTAAGGCAGACGCACTCTGACTTTGAAGGAAGCGCCCAATTAGTCGATTATTACGACATGCGTACAGTGAGTCGATTCTGGTTTCCCCTACAAAGGCCGATCTTACAATCGGCCCTTCCAAGCATTTAATGCGGCAGTTTCATTCTAAACATCGAGCATATTATGTTCATATATCAAAATGCATAGTATGAATGTAAAACGAAAATACAGAAGCGTAAATGAGAAATGCAAACCTTCAGACTTACTTGCAAAAAAATACTCACACATGGCAAACACAGACAAACAGGTAGGTAGGCAGGTGCTTTGCTGGGGAGAGGGTGGGGGGGGGGGGGTCGTCACGTTCAAGGGGAGCTTTAGGTTATAATTGTGACTAGGTTATGTGCGACATATAAAATAGCTAAGCATTGCACGCCACCAAAAGCTCTGAAAATGTCTCCTGCAGTGTTGATGTGATCAGTGGAGACAGACCCAAATAATGTCCTGACCTGCGTCGAAGTCGTCTACCGGCGAACCAGTGGATGACCGGGTCGCCGATGCACACACAAGCACACATACATAATAACACTTACACGTCATAAGCATGATAGGAGAGAGAGAGAGCGAGAGAGAGAGAGAGAGAGAGAGAGAGAGGTGGGGGGGCAGTTAATATCATAATTGATTTGCACTTACAGACGATATGATCATATATTAATGAACTCGTAGTGAGTCGCTAAGTATACAACAGTTAACTTATAGTATTACTATGTAATTGCAGTACAGTGTTATGGATCTCAAGCGCTGGACACAAAAGTACACGGAAGAAAAGAACGGAGCAGACAAACACGACTACATGACTATACGGTAAGGGCTTCCGGTTAGTATGGCAAATATGCAGCTGTACTGTTTTAGTTGTGGCAAGTGTTTGCTTCTGCTATTTCCCTCATATTTAGACTGAAAGGGTATCAGTTCCGTCGCCCAGCTTCTGAGTTCAGTGCATGGGGCGACACTGTAAGCTGCTATTTCGTATGAAGTGTTTTTCGACTGAGCCTAACATAGTTTGTGCTGTGTGTGAACTGCAGATTTAGAAAATGGCGAGCACCTGTTGATACAGATCTAATGGTGCCTTGTGCAGTTAATTAATTAACTTTTAGGGGCGAGGACACAATTTTATAACAGCCTGCCTGTCTAATTCTTAACTTGAAGTGTAAAAAAGAGGGAGGGGGGGGGGGGTGTTGTTTAGTAATATATGGTGGACAAAGGTGGTCTCCAACTTTTTTTTTCAAGTAACGCCTCCCTTGAGTGTATGGCAAGATTCCCCCCCCCCCTCCCACATCCCCTTTTCGCCCTCCTAGAGTATATGGCAAGGACCCCTTCCCCCCTCCCCCGCCCTCCTAGAGTATATGGCAAGACCCTCACGTCCATTTCAGTGTATGTTCAGACCTCCCCGTCCTTGGCGTAACAAAATGCAGGTAAACATGACGGAAATCTCTCCAAACAAAAGTTAGCTCCACCTATTTACACACTAGGTCGCAACCAATCTTGGTGGGGCCATTATTTGATTAAAATTGAACGCGTGTGAAACTGCTGATCTTTTGGTGACTTCTGCTACCATTAATGGTGAACTACATTTCTAACGTCGGACTGTTTGTCTTAGCACTTCGGAAGGCTACCGTATGCTTTTAATGCGTGTGTATGCTAGATTTGCTGAGACAGCAGTTTGTCAGTCTTTTCACAAGGGGCTGTGATAAACATTCTGTGTGTTTTTCTGTTGGCACAGGAGCGGAACAAAGATGGGGTGACCCGTTTGCTATGAAGCTGAAACTAAGATTACCAGATTTCACTAGGTCACATTTGACTGGTAGTTGCTGAGCCTTCTCAACTTTACGGAAGGTTACAGGGGTGTTCCGCGATACCGTTGATATCGCGTGTTGTATATTTCAGCAAGTCAGCGCTATTAACGATCCATAAACAGACAGCCCTGGCCCTAATACTCCCACCCCCCAATCCCCTTACGAGAGTGCTGCAACCCATGTCAGAGGCATTCTCTTTCTCGGAATGAAAACGTAAATGGACGATAACGCAGAAAGCTTGTCAAGCAAACAGTAGAGCACTACTGTAACCTCCACGAAAGTTGGCGACCCTAACAAACTATGAATGAAAAGTGACCTATGTGTAAATGGGCGGGGCTAACTCTGTGTGGTTAGATCTGGGTAATGTTAACCCATAATGCGATTACAAAGAAAAGGACAATAGATTCTGCAACCAAAGAAACAGAAAGTATGGAGATACGTTTTGGTCAGAATGTGCGCTTAATTTATAATTAAATGCGCCTGTTAATATATTTATCCGATTTTAAATGTAGATGTACAAATTCCTCGTGGGGGAAAAACATGTCATTGTCCTTTTATTCAATTAATATATATTTTTAATGTTTACGATTAAACTGAAGCAAAATGTATTGCATGTACAAATAAACTCACTTTTAAAATTGACTGCGTTTGATCCCAGCTGCGGACAGTTTGTCTTGCGTTGGTCTCGACAGTGGTAACAAGAGCCGACCGTCCAGGAACAGTGGCAAACTATTGGATGTAAAATTTGCATAGAAAACCACAACAGCTAAAAAAAAAAAAATGCTAGGGTTGGTTCTGCAACGTCCTGTAAAGGATACGCAACTAACTAATTTTCAGAATTGATTGACGCCTCTGTTGAAGCCTCCTTGTCCTACTACCCAGGCCCCTGGTGTCCTCTGTTGAAGCCTCCTTGTACTACTACCCAGTCCACTCTGTTGAAGCCTCCTTGTCCCACTACCCAGTCCACTCTGTTGAAGCCTCCTTGTCCCACTACCCAGTCCACTGGTGTCCTCTGTTGAAGCCTCCTAGTCCCACTACCCAGTCCACTGGTGTCCTCCGTTGAAGCCTCCTTGTCCCACTACCCAGGCCCCTGGTGTCCTCTGTTGAAGCCTCCTTGTCCCACTACCCAGTCCACTGGTGTCCTCCGTTGAAGCCTCATTGTCCCACTACCCAGTCCACTCTGTTGAAGCCTCCTTGTCCCACTACCCAGGCCCCTGGTGTCCTCTGTTGAAGCCTCCTTGTCCCACTACCCAGGCCCCTGGTGTCCTCTGTTGAAGCCTCCTTGTCCCACTACCCAGTCCACTGGTGTCCTCTGTTGAAGCCTCCTTGTCCCACTACCCAGTCCACTGGTGTCCTCTGTTGAAGCCTCCTTGTCCCACTACCCAGGCCCCTGGTGTCCTCTGTTGAAGCCTCCTTGTCCCACTACCCAGTCCACTGGTGTCCTCTGTTGAAGCCTCCTTGTCCCACTACCCAGTCCACTGGTGTCCTCTGTTGAAGCCTCCTTGTCCCACTACCCAGTCCACTGGTGTCCTCTGTTGAAGCCTCCTTGTACTACTACCCAGTCCACTCTGTTGAAGCCTCCTTGTCCCACTACCCAGTCCACTCTGTTGAAGCCTCCTTGTCCCACTACCCAGTCCACTGGTGTCCTCTGTTGAAGCCTCCTAGTCCCACTACCCAGTCCACTGGTGTCCTCCGTTGAAGCCTCCTTGTCCACTACCCAGGCCCCTGGTGTCCTCTGTTGAAGCCTCCTTGTCCCACTACCCAGTCCACTGGTGTCCTCCGTTGAAGCCTCATTGTCCCACTACCCAGTCCACTCTGTTTGAAGCCTCCTTGTCCCACTACCCAGGCCCCTGGTGTCCTCTGTTGAAGCCTCCTTGTCCCACTACCCAGGCCCCTGGTGTCCTCTGTTGAAGCCTCCTTGTCCCACTACCCAGTCCACTGGTGTCCTCTGTTGAAGCCTCCTTGTCCCACTACCCAGTCCACTGGTGTCCTCTGTTGAAGCCTCCTTGTCCCACTACCCAGTCCACTGGTGTCCTCTGTTGAAGCCTCCTTGTCCCACTACCCAGTCCACTGGTGTCCTCTGTTGAAGCCTCCTTGTCCCACTACCCAGTCCACTGGTGTCCTCTGTTGAAGCCTCCTTGTCCCACTACCCAGTCCACTGGTGTCCTCTGTTGAAGCCTCCTTGTCCCACTACCCAGTCCACTGGTGTCCTCTGTTGAAGCCTCCTTGTCCCACTACCCAGTCCACTGGTGTCCTCTGTTGAAGCCTCCTTGTCCCACTACCCAGTCCACTGGTGTCCTCTGTTGAAGCCTCCTTGTCCCACTACCCAGGCCCCTGGTGTCCTCTGTTGAAGCCTCCTTGTCCCACTACCCAGTCCACTGGTGTCCTCTGTTGAAGCCTCCTTGTCCCACTACCCAGTCCACTGGTGTCCTCTGTTGAAGCCTCCTTGTCCCACTACCCAGTCCACTGGTGTCCTCTGTTGAAGCCTCCTTGTCCCACTACCCAGTCCACTGGTGTCCTCTGTTGAAGCCTCCTTGTCCCACTACCCAGTCCACTGGTGTCCTCTGTTGAAGCCTCCTTGTCCCACTACCCAGTCCACTGGTGTCCTCTGTTGAAGCCTCCTTGTCCCACTACCCAGTCCACTGGTGTCCTCTGTTGAAGCCTCCTTGTCCCACTACCCAGTCCACTGGTGTCCTCTGTTGAAGCCTCCTTGTCCCACTACCCAGTCCACTGGTGTCCTCTGTTGAAGCCTCCTTGTCCCACTACCCAGGCCACTGGTGTCCTCTGTTGAAGCCTCCTTGTCCCACTACCCAGTCCACTGGTGTCCTCTGTTGAAGCCTCCTTGTCCCACTACCCAGGCCACTGGTGTACACGACTGGTAGTAAATAGGACACCCTATATGAAATTTAAAGCGTTTGTAATTCATGGGTTATTAATGCAGGTTACAACAATCCCGACATAGCCAAAGTTAGCCGAAAGAGATTTGCTCACAGACTACTTTACACTGGTTTCAATGACTGACTGACTGACTTTCTACCCTACTAGGACATCACACAAGCGATAAACACCCGCTGACACAATGTGCCAACATGTGGGTGAGGATCACCGTGAAGAGGTCCCAGAAACCGCGCTCAGCCCTTAGGCCATGTTTATGGCCAGACAAGAGCCAGGGTGGAGCTTCAAAGAACGAAGAATTTCATCCTAAAAAGGACGTAAAGTTTTATACGCTGCTTTCAATAAAGGTATGTACGTCTTCCCGTTCAGAATAGCAACAGCAACCTTCTGAACACAAGAATATTCAATAAAATCGCAACCAATGCAAAACATGTTGGGATTGGTTAACTGCAATCTGTACTTTAATTTGTCTTTTAAGTTTCACAACTTATTTTTCATGTTTGTTTCAGACACTTAGAAAACCCTGAAACTAATGACCGAGAAAGAAAGAGAAAAGCGAATTACAAATAGCGTCAAAAAACAAGAACGATAACTACCGAAAGTGATATCGCTGAGTTGATGAAAATACATACATTTTTTTAGATTCGAAATTGCATGCAGACTAAGTAAAGAAAGGAACTAGTGCCAGCAAAGAAATCATAGTCAAAATCTGGAGTGCATACATCTTCCCTGTAGCAACATAGGGATGTGAGTCCAAGTGATTCCCATGAAAATAGGGGCGTCTGAGCTAAAATGCTATAGAAAGATTATCAGAATACCAAAGACAAGAGGGTCACGAAGAATACCGTGGACCACGAAGAATAGCATGGACCACATGGAATACCATGGACCATGAAGAATACCACTGACCACGAAGAAAAAGACGCTGACATCCTTAAAGATAAGAAAATCAAGAATGTTGAATGTTGAATTTAGACATCACAGCACTCGGGACATCCCCATAGGGCTCGGTCCCTATCTTCAGTAGCAAGCGAAGAGTTTAAATTCTGATGGTACCGGTAACTGTCTGATTGTGTATAAGTCTCATCCTTCCCTAGATTGTTGAGCGT